ACTTGTTGCATGGTACAGATACATTCCATATAGGTTTTGAGTTACTTTCCAGCTGAAAATAATTTCGAAAACTCTCTCTGTTTTTATACTCTTCAAAATGAATACCTTTCCAGAATATATCTAAAACATTTGCTGATATCTCCTGCTCCTCTGACTGGAATTCATCTACCAACAGTTTTCTTTTCCTTGCTGGAAGTTTTGTTTTCTTAGTTGTTATCTTTGCTGCTGCCAATCCTGCCATCCCTCGTGTGTGGGTGTGTCCGCATTATTAATTTTTATTAAAATTTACCATGCTATAAATAGTAACAACATTAAGATATGCAGGCATAAGCAATTTTAATCAAATGCGTGGGAGTTTCGCGCTCCAACCCTCGCTTTCATGGGCTCCTGTAATTAATTATTATGCAATCATACTAATACCTAGCCAAGGGAATGGTAAGCCACTTATAAATCCAACATCTTCTCCAAAGTAGTTAATACTGTTTATTCGAAAGGAGTAGATACCAGGAAGTGATGGGTTATAGGAGAATGATGTTCCAGCTGTATCATTAACAAAAGTTTCATTAACATAAAGCCTGTATAAAGGGACACAGGTAGCTCTAGTCCAAGTAATGTTAGCACCAACTGAAGTACAACTGACATAAGTTGAACTAGATACTGATGACTCTAAAATAAAATTAGTCATGTATTCAGTGCATCTAATGTACATAATTAAAATACCTTGAAGAGGCAGAGTAACACTAGCTATTTGAACGGTACTAGAGACAATTGTGTCATTGTAGCACTTTAGTGTCATTCCATTAGTATCACGGGTTAGATTAGAAGTAGTGGCTATTGAAGTAATTATACCATCAGACACACTAGTGATTCTGGTACTGAATGGTCCTATTCCAAGTAACTGCAGATCACTAAAGGCACCCTCGGACCCTAAATAAAGCTTTCCAGCTCCCCCTAACCGCCATCCCAAGATAGTCCCATTCACTGTACAGGTAAAAGTCGCGGCAGCCCCTAAACAGATTTCACTATTTGGCTGCGCTATTTCAACACTAGAGCCTGGGGATAATTATTATAAAAAAGTCTACTGGTACTGAGGCAATATCCTCACTCTTACAAATTGATGGTACAACAACAAAGACAAAAAGAACAGCAAAATTGCCCATGACCGTTACTATGGCAAGCCGTTTGTTTCAAAATTATTAAGCCATAGATACTAATACTATATATACCAAGTGGATATGAAACAGGATGTGCCTATGCTCTTTTCGCCGGATGTGACGTTTTTCCTAGATACGCTTAGCAACCAAAATGGTGGCAAAATCAATAATTATAAAAAACTTCATAAAAATCTATATTTCTTCTGAAAAGAGTCAGTACATAAACAACAGACAATTTAGCTTCATTGGTTTCATATTCATACCCTATTTGATGATCAAAAAAATAATATTATAATAATAGTTTTATCATTCTAATATGGTATATCACAATGACATTAAGTAACTTTTTTCAAAGATACATAGCTTTAAAATAATTATGAAAATATACAAACCGTACAAAAGGCATGTACATAGACTCATACAAAATTATACCTTTTCAAATAGCATAGTTTTCCAGAAAAGGTGTTTACAAAACAGACCATAAATAAACTAAAAAATGGATATATTTCTATTTTATAAAACTGCAGTGGAAAGCTAGTAGTTACAGACCATGTAACACAATAATATCCTTCTTCTACCCAAATA